ACAGAATGAACTGGTGATTATAATAGAATCAGGGGCATAGAAAGGGAGTGGACTGGCTATCCTTGTGGGGGAAAGGGGTGAGGGGGATGCGGGAAGAGACTGGACAAAAATCGCGCACCTATGGATGAGGATAGTGGGTGGGGAGTGAGGGAGGAAGGTGGGGTGGGAACTGGGTGGAGGGAAGTTATGTCGGGAAAAAAGAGGAACAAATGTAATAATCTGAACAATGAAGATTTAATTAATTTAAAAAAAAATGTGGCCTGAGTACACGCAGCAGCGGATCCTCGTCCTTACTGTCCTCCACGACCACCTCGGGGGCATCTCTCACGCTTGCTCATTTCTTTCCAACTCAGGCCACATAGCAATGCCCTCTCCTGTCACCTGAGCCTTTGCCTTCACTTATAACAGGGTTGGTCAGTCTCTCCCTGGAATTTGAGGAATTAAAATTGGACTTATAAATTGACTTAAGAAGACCTACAACTTCTCTTTGTACCTTATTTACCACAATAGTTTGACATGAATAGTAGTGTAAAATTTTCTTCTAAAATAAAATTTAAGTTGAAAAATGAGGTAATTTAAAGGAGAAAACTACTAAGCAAATAATCACACAGGTTATTAATTCAGATACAGCCAAGACTGTGGGAATGGCACACAGACTTCAACTTGTGACAATGGGTTTATTCTCACCAGTTTGTTCACTGGAAGGCAGTAGGTCTTGCCGTGCGTTGCTGCTGCTGGAAATGGCTGAGGATGGAGTGTTGGGAAACTGAAGTTATAATCCTGGGCCAGTCAGTGCCTCAGTACATGTCGCTCAGCCTTTGGTGGTATAATTTCCTCTTCTTTGTCTCAGTGCTCAGAGATGCTACTTAAAAACCCACAACCATTCATATCCTTTTAAGGGTGATGGGTAATGATTCTTTTGAAATTAATCTAGGCTGATATTAGCATAGCCAAGCTCTTGGCCAGTAGCTTTCTCAATTATTTATACATTCATTGACTTATTTTAATTTTTAAAAAGTTAAAGCAATGCAGCCAAGTATTCAAAGGAAATCAGACCCAGAAGTCCAATATTTAAGCCAGGTAGAAGGGAGGCACCCTGGGGGGAGCCTGGCCCCCGCTGTCATCAGCCTATTTGTGTCAGGGAAATGGATGGCTCATCCCAATGTGTCCATTCACTCAGCAACAGTTGCCAAGTGCTTTCTGTGTCAAGCTCTGACCCGGGCACTAAGGACACTGCCAAGCACTTGACCAGAAGTCAGCAAACTTTTACTCTAAATGGCCAGATAACATTGGGGGACATGTGGTCTCCCCCACAACTACTCAACTCTGCCTTTGAAGTGAGAAAGCAGCTGTAGATAATAAGTGAATGGCATGCCTGTTCCAGTAAAACCTTATTTACCAAACCAGTTGGAGGGACTGACTTGGCCCGAGGACGTAGTTAGCCAACCCCTGGCTTAGACTGATGTGATGTCTGCTTCTTAGGATTCCAGCCTAGTGGGACACAAGTGAGGGAAGATGCTTAATACCAACCTTGCTAGGAGTGAAGAAAAAGGCTCTAGTGACAGGAGAGGGCATGCTGTGTGGCAGGAGTGGCCCCACTCCCAGCAGTGCTGCCAGGCCAGGCTCCCTCCTCATCTGTGCCTCTGCCCCTCCCCAGTCCCCAGCTGACCATTGGGTCTTCCTGAGGTCTGTGACCAGTGTTTTTCACACAGTTCACCTGCCAAAAAGGGGCAGTGACCAGGGAGGGGGAAGGAAGGGAGAGGGACTCTGAGTCCCTCCCATCCAGTGGGTTTCAAACAAGACTACTCTGATTTCATCTGTCTCATATTTTGGACATCTGTGTACGATTTCATCTATCAATTTTAAAACCTGAAAGCAACATCTCTGGATCTTCTAACTTGATTTCTGGAATCAACCCTCGGCCCTCAACCACCTGTCTGTCTTTCTCCCTCCACGTTGTGAGCCTGTTGCTCAATCTCAAGGTTAGGAAGACCAGGGCTGTTCTTGATCAGCCGATCTGTGTTTATCTCTTCGCACTGTGGGTCCTGAAGCCAGTCATGCTTCCTCCCTAGTTTGGCCACTTAGATGCTCAGGACCCAAATTGGTTCCACCTCTGGTTAGTAGGTGCCTCTATGTGTTCTTGCCTGTAAAGTTGCTATTATAAAATGCATAAATTTCCTGTTCTGGACTTCCTCCGTTATTCACATTTATATTGCTTACATTTGTACCTTTACTCCTTCTTTCATTCACTCTTCTAGGCTCTTGGATAAAGGGGGCATTCAACTATAGCTTGGGCCTCTGCCATTTGGTGCTTACAGGATAATGAACAAGTCACACATTTGTCACTTTACCTGACAATTAAATGTGAGCTTACCAACTGGGATGAAGTGCTGAGAAGGGGAGACTTGTGACACCAGGAGACCACACACCAGTGGGATTTAACCTCCTAAGGGAGGTAGGCAATACTTGTCTGAGAAGATGTGTTTCATTTGAGACTAGAGGAGAAGAAGAGGGCAGCTGGAGGCGAGAGGCTCAGTATGTGCAAAGGCTCTGTGGCCAGAAGGAGCCCCAAACAGAGAAGGAGGTCCAAGGCCTGAGGGAAACCAGAGAGGTGATGGGGACAGCTCTTCACTCAGAAAACAAGGGGCAAAGCAGGGGCTTCACTCAGGACAATGACATGGTCACATTTCCAGTTGAAAAACATTCTGATTGTAGATAAGCAGGCAGAAAGGTGGCTTTAACCACAGTGTGGCCACAGTGTGTGGAGGTGAGAGGGAAGAGAGCATGCACATATCCGAGAGGGTGTAGGAGGAAATGCTAATGGGCTTGGAAATGGCTGGATGGGGTGTGTGCCTGAAAGACATTCTCTGAGATAGACGGTACCAGCAGAGGCTGTGGGTTTGGGCTGCATGTGTGAATTCTCAGGCAGCTTAGGGACTGTTGGGGTTAGGGGATGTCTAGTAGGAAGTTGTATCCATGAATCTAAACCTTGGGGAGTTTGGGGTTAGTGTCCAACTAAGTGGTCACCAGCCTATAGGGAAAATTACAGGCTTGAGCAGTGGCCACACAGCAGATGAATGTCAGAACCAGGAATCCTGAATGGAGGGGCCTGCCTGTCTGCTGTGGCAGAAAGTTTGGATGGGCTGGCATGGCTGCAGATATAGGTGTAGATAATCTGTATATTAGTGCACAGAGTGAATCTGTAGATGTGGTTCCCATCCCATGGCTGCCCTTCCTCCCCTCCTTCCTCCCTCTCAGTAGGAGATGAGGTCAACTAAGGAGAGTGAGGGAAGAGAGGTCACAGCAGAGGTTTGTATGGGAAAGGTTGTGGGCCTCACTGTGGAAAGCAGAGTGTCTGAGCAGAGAAACAAGTAGGCAGAGTGGGGCCCATTGAGGTTAGTAATCAAGAATTTATAAGATCAAATGCCCCCTGTGATATTACTCATTCCTTCATATTGAATGAATTTTTGTAAATCACCTCAATATTTGTGTTGTATGTGAAATGCAGTGGTAGGGGGAAAGGAAGAGAAATGGGAATTTAGAAAGAACACAGAGAGTGAGGGGGGCGAGAAAACAAGAGGAGTTGGATGGGTTGACTCAATCTAGCTGCAGACAGAGTTGGAGCTAGGCTAGGGAGAAGGCAGCCGCATGGGGAAAGAGAGACAATGTGGCCTCCAAGGAGAGTCAGGCTCCCCATGCAAGCTGGACTATGGATGACCAATGTCCTGGCAGGAAGGACAGGGAAGGATGTGCTGGGCAGAAGGATTTGCGTATGTGAAGGCATCAAGTTATGGAGCCGTTTGCTTGAGAAATGGCTAGAAGCGCAGTGCAGCAGGGCAATGGGGTAGATGGAGCAGGACTCGAAGCTCTCAGGTAAGTTAAAGCAAATGGAAGAAAACCCACATTTTAAATTTCCCTTTAGGCACTTTTCAGAAACAATGATCATCTGGGGAGTTTGGTGAGGATTGGAACAAATGTGAGGAGTGTGGTGAGGCCACAGCCAAGGCTCTGGGTTTGCTCTATCAGGTTTTAGGAATTGGTTCTTTTGGGTTTAATTTTGTTATAGTTACTGATTATAGATTATTGTAGAGTCAACCATTACCACAGAGATGTCACATGTAAAGATCTGGTGAAGTCCCACTCTTTAAAATGAGTTGGAATCACTCCACCTTCCCGGCTCCTAGTCCCTCTGCAGCCTGCCTCAGGTCCCGGGGGGCTTTGGGTCAGGAAGGGCTCAGATTTAAAGTGGGGCGTTTTTATTTTTTATTTCATTTTTTGTTAATCCTCACTAGAGGATACTTCTTCCATTGATTTTAGAGAGAGTGGAAGGGAGGGGTAGTGAGAGAGAGGAGAGAGAGGGAAACATCGATGTGAAAGAGCCACATCAATTGGCTGGCTCCCATGCGTACCACCCCCCCCCCCCCCCCCCCCATGTACAGACAGGTCTCATTTTTGTCTCAAACTCTAAGGGACAGTGAAAAATCTAGACTCAGCTGGGGCCTGCTTGGAGGAGGGGACCATTGCTCACAGCATGTGTGGCTGCATCCAGGGCAGGTCAGGCACTCCTCTGACATGGAAACCACATAGACTTTCCGTGTGAGCTCTCTTGCCTGTGCACTGTCTCTGGGCTCTTTCAAATGTCTCCTGCAGCAAGCTGCTCCCTGTAGGAACACAACATTTCCCTTATCTTGTCCTTCGGTTATTTGTCCCACTTTTCTCTTTCAGAGGGCCGCTGCCAAGGCGACAAGTCAATGTTCTGTAGGATGGAAGTCCTGTCTCGTTATTGCTCCATCCCAGGCTACAACAAACTGTGCTGCAAGTCCTGTAACCTGCATGACAACCTCACTGATGTGGATGACAGGGCAAGGCCACCGCCCGGGAAGCATAATGACATTGAGGAGCTCATGCCCACCCTCCCCGTCCCCACTCTAGTCATGGAGGTGCAGCCTGCGCCAGGCACGCCCTTGGAGGTGCCTCTCAATGCCTCCAGCACCAATGCCACTAAGGATCACCCAGAAACCAATGCTGTTGACGTGCCCTACAAAATCAATCGTCTGAACAATGAAGTCCAGCCACCCAACCTAATCCCTCGACGGCCAAGCCCATATGAGAAGACCAGAAACCAAAGGATCCAAGAGCTCATTGATGAGATGAGGAAGAAAGAGATCCTCGGATAGTTCTAATAAAATGGAAAGGTAGCATCAATAGCATTTTTTTCTTGCTTATAGAGATATTCCATGGGATGGCAAATCCTGTGTCATGGTGATTAAGTCACAATTCCTGAGTCCCAAAAGTTTTGAGGTAACAGAGGGAGAATCACATAAAAAATAGATATGTGTGTATTATATATATGGTTGTGAACATGTGGCAACAAGGAGAGCACATGGGTGTCCCAGCCCCAGAATGTTCCAAATCCTGAACTGTGGGACTGGGGTAGAGAGGAATGTGGAGCCTACATCCTTTGTCAGTGAGGGAGGATAACTTGGAGAAAGAAGACATTTGCCTCACGTTTCTGAGCAGTAACCAGTGGTGACAACCCTTCTAGAAACACAAGACATGTCCTTCTAATCCCCAGGCCTAGACACGAGCCCCATGGGGACTCTTAGGAAACAATGATTTATTCACTAACTTCCCAGTCACTAAGATGAGCACATTGAGGTTGAGGCTGTGGACTCCAGTGCCTTCAATGCCAGGCAGGTGGTGAGGATGAGTGTGGTGGCAGCTGGGGACCAGGACCAACCTGAGAGCTGCTGAGTGTCTAGCATTACTGCCTCTGTGAGAACTGGCCTGCTGCCAGATAGCATGCTTTTTCACTAGAAGTCTAGATTTCGTGTGAAAATTCTGTCTTTAAAGATCAGCTCAAAATACTCTGAGGAGGCTGGGAGGCTGTCAGGGTGTAGGGCCGCCAGGCTGCAGCCTCTGGTCTCAGGCATGGCCTGACATAGCCTGGCCAATTAAGGACTTAGGGGAAGCCATCTGACCCACTTGGTGCTCACCAGCTGTGCTATCTCAGCTATGTCTGAGCTGTGACGCTGCCCATTTCTTCCTAGGAAAGTCCCGGGAATCTTTTAACTCTGGCTTGAGGATTGATCTAAAAAGGGGGTCACGTTTTCTGCGAGATAAGCCAGTGGGGTGCACTCCCAGGTCTCTCTCCTCTCCATGAACCCTGGCCTTGCTTGTCCCATCTGGCCAGCCTGGCCTCGGCCCTGCAGCTCCCCAGAGGGGCTCTCCCCTTCCACAAGTGCATGGGAAGGCTGACAGGCATGCGCTGTGCTGGGAAGTCCAGTGAGTGGTCAAGGCTGTCTCTCCCAGAGGGGTGGGAGTGCTGCCACCAGGATGGTCATGCCTGAGGGACCTACGATGGACTTTTTAGGCTTGGGTATGCTTCTGAACACCAGTCTTGCTTGTGGGGGATAGGCCTGCCCTATTGGAGCCTTCCAGCCCCCCAGCCCTGCCCCACTTTCATCCCTTAGAAGTTTCAATAGGGAACTGCCAGATCTGTCCTCTGATGGGAGGCATTGGGTGGGAGGTAGGGAGAGCCCGCTGTATCTTTTGCTCCTTCCAAACAGTAACAGTTTCTATTTCGGCAGAATGGTGCTTTGTGAGCAAGATGTGAATGAGTGAAAAATAAGAAGGGAGTGGGTGGGGATGGGTGGGACAACAATGGCTAATTTTTACCTCTCCCTGCATAGATATTAACATGCAGCTTAAATTTCCCAAAATTATAAGACCTGGGGGGCACATTAGCTCCTTAGCTGGGCCTCCCTTAACACATAATTCTTAGGCTTTTCATACCCACAAGAGTTCTAGAGCCTTTTTATTCCTGCCAGTCAGATCTTAGAGAACTCTTTTTTGTTTAAGTCCCCATTATATGGACAAAAATACTGAGGCTCAAGAAAGCACCATGACAGCAACTTTATATTGAGTTTTGAGGTGCTAAGTCTGTGTGTGTGAATCTGTGCATGTGTGTGAGTGTGTCTGTGTGGGTAGCCTAAGGGACAAAGAAAGGGTGTAGGACATAGTGAGAACCGTATCTGGGATGATGCTTAACTGTCCAACTGGGTGATGACCAGCCTTTCTGTCCCCTGGCATAGCTGCCCTCTCTTTCTGCCACCATGCCCCACACATGCTCAGACACTGTGCAATGTCTAAAGGAGTTTGCTGACTCCTAAGAACTAAACTGGAGAAAACGTTTTGAACATCTCTCATAGTATCACTTCTTCTCTAGTAAGGTGTGGTATACAGTACTTTCACAATCCTGTCATTATAATTAGGAAATGGGTCCCTCTGCTTTCTCTCATGGCAGCTGGTATTAGTCACGGCCTGAAAGACTGGGCAGTTCTTGCTTGGGTCTGTCTTGGAATGATGTAAAGGAAGTTTGGGGTGATTAACCCTGTCCAGAGAGTATTACTCAGTTTACCCAGCCTGGGGCCTCAGAATCAGAAAGGTCCACTCCCAGATCCTGGCAAAGTGGGACTACATATCTTGGGGCTGGAAGTCCTTGGAGAGCCCCTAGCTGGGACATTGCCATGGGTACCTGTCTTTGGCTAGAGGGAGAGAGATGTGCTCTGGAAGCTGTATGCCAGCAAGGCCATGTCCTAACATGCCATACTCAGTGCCTTGGACCATATATCCAGAGTTCTCCAGAAGTAAGTAGTCCTCAGAGGTCTCTCCCCAAGGAATGCAGTCTATGCAGCTCTGAAAAACTGAAAATCACTGAGCTTGGGACAGTTGGAGAGCAGGCTTAGCAACAGTGCTGAGCTTCCAGAGCCAGTGTCCGGCCGGCCAGCCGGCCAGCCCTGTGTTCAAAGCTCCTGCCTCGTGGGGAAGGCCACACAGCTATTCTAGCTGAGTTTCATAACACCATGTGTGATTCAGATGTTCTCTGTCCACAATTCTAAAAAAACCAGCTGAGGGACTCGGGGATCACTTTATGTTCACAGGGAGACTTGTGCTAGCATTTTGGGACCTGGCTCTCTGATATATTGCTTTTGGAAAACCCATGGAATTTCACATATAAGCATTTCATTTGTATTTTAAGTTTTATTTTTTTGTTTTTGTTTTTTTGCTTGTTTCTTTGTTTGGAGTGTATAAATGGTGCTCAATAGAAAAGCCTATCAGGTGACTGTGTACTCCTGTGTGACAGGCAGCCAGCACAAAAAAATCATCACGGTGCTGAACTCCAATCACATTTTATCTTACTGATCACAGCAAACAATACATCTGTTTTCTGTATAGTAAAATTTGGTTCTTTGATTTTATAACTTATTAAAGTCAAACATCTGTGTTTTTGCACATCGTGCTTGTGTTGTTTCTTACCTCGATGACACTTGTCCCCATCCCCAGCTTGGACTTGAGCAGATGGAAGGATGTACTGCCCTCAAAAGGCCAAGAGGTGAGGAGGGGACCAGTGAAGGGTGAGAGGCAGCCAGAGGGACCCATCCCTCTCCCAGCTGCACATGGAGTCAGCTCTCCAGGTGACTTGAGTAATCCCACAGCTCCCAAGGAAACCTTTAGTTCAGAGAGGAGATGAAGACTCTCCAGACACTTCCTCCTCCCCAATTATATCGCCTTCTCTGCTATAGTTAGGGCTTCCTGGAAAAATACTAGATGTTGTGTTAAACTTGAATTTCAGAGAATAACAAATAATGTTTAGTATATGTTCCATTTTTATACTAAAAATTTTTGTTGTTTCTCTGAAATTCAAATTTAACTGAGAATCCTGTATTTTAATTTGGTAACCCTGCCTATAAAAGACAAGTCCATTTGCTCTGGCCCTCTTTAATACAGGTGTTGGGGAGAAGGAAGGCTGAAGGGTGCAAAATTCCCCAGCCAAGGAGGAGGCCAATGACATGTACCAAGAAATCATACTAGTTTGGACGGGGGCTGCAGGTGGCTTTGGGATGCACAAGATTTCTCATCTTGTTCATTGTAATTTGTTTGGACTCTGTTTTCATAGTACAGTTGTCCTTTACACCAGAAAACAGGAAGTGTGTGTGTGTGTGTGTGTGTGTGTGTGTGTGTGTGTATTCGGAGTAGGGGAGGAAGGTCAGTTGAGTAAGCAGAAGTGGCTGAGATGAAATGTTTGCAAAGGTTATTCATAACCAGATAGGTCAGAAAGGTTCCTTTAGAAAACAGGTCTGGGTTACACAGGAAGTGGTAAGGAAAACCCAATCTGTGCTTTCTGAAGATGTGGACAGATGGTTAAGAGGAGCTAAATTATTTGATTGCAGAGGTTCTGGCCACCACCCCCTCCTCTGTGCACTGTGTAAGTCCCTGACTCACAGGCACAGAGCAGCTAAGCCATGGTCATATCCTGCCTTAGAGGCCACGTGGCCAGTAACTTACCCTCTATACCTCATGGTTCCACAGAGTTGTTTCTTCAGTCTTGTGATATTACTCATAATCCATACTCCCATGATTTTATATCTAAATATTTGTATGCACACCCCAAATTATACATGTCCTAGACCAGCGGTTCTCAACCTGTGGGTCGCGACCCCTCTGGGGGTCGAACAACCCTTTCACAGGGGTCGCCTAAGACCATAGGAAAACACATATATAATTACATATTGTTTTTGTGATTAATCACTATGCTTTAATTATGTTCAATTTGTAAGAATGAAATTGGGGGTCACCACAATATGAGGAACTGTATTAAAGGGTCGCGGCATTAGGAAGGTTGAGAACCACTCTCCTAGACGGTCTTTGCTTACCTCCTCAACTCTCCTATGTATAAGCTTTCACATCCATTCATGACCAGGTAGAGACTACACAGGCAGGGTCCAGGAAGTGCTGGCCTGTCAGAGTGAGACTTCCACATTGTGCCATGTGGGGGCTGCCCCAAGACAGTCCAACCTCAAGTACACATAAAAATATACCAAGACAGGGTGTGACTGCCCCACAGTGCATGAAAGTTACCAATGCTTTAGTTCAACTAACATTCTTCTAGTATCTTTAAATGAACACTTAGATCACTGATTTTCAACCTTTCTTTTTAATTCTATGCATTTATGGCTATAAATTTCCCTGTAAGCACTGCTTAAGCTGTACCCCTAAAATTTTGATATTTCATACATTTATTACCATTCCATTCCAAATATTTTATTATTTTTGTTTTGTGACTTCCTTTTAGGCCTAGTGTTTTTTAAAGCATGTTGCTTAATTTCCAAACATTGGGAAATTGTCTAGTTATGGAATATTACAAATTTCTAGCTTATTTTCTTGTGGTCAGAAAACATTTTCTGAAAGGTTTCTACCCTTTGAAATTTGTTGAAGCTGGCTTTATGTCCCGGGATATGGTCAATTGTTGTAACTATTGTACTTTGTTCAAAAAAAAATATATAATTGACAATTGTTGGATATAGTATCTTACATATGTCCATTATTTCAAATTTGTTATATTTTTATTCATATCTTTTATATCTTGATTTTGTTGTCTTCTTGGTCTATGAATTTGATAGAAAGTAGTTTTGTGTTTTTTTAAATCCTCACCTAAGGATATTTTTTCCATTGATTTCTAGAGAGAGTAGAAGGGAGGGAAGAGGGGGAGAAAGAGAGAGAGAAACATCATCGAGAGAGAAACACATCAATTAGTTGCCTCCCACACACACCCCTACTGGGACTGGGAACTTGCAACCGAGGAATGTGCCCTTGACCAGAAATCAAACACACAACTCTTCGGTCCATGGGCCGACACTATAACCACTGAGCCAAATCAACCAGGGTGGTAGAAAGTAGTTTTAATACCTCGCACCGATTGTATATGTTTCTATTTCTCCTTGCAGTTTTATCATATTTTGCCTATTGTTTTACTATTTTGAGGCCACATTAATGGGAGTATACAAATTTCTAATTATTTTGTTCTTGGTAACATTATCTCTTTATCTAAATTAATTGATCAATGTTATTTCCATAAATAATGTCAGTCTTGAAACATCTCCCCCATTAATATAGCTATATCAGCTTCCTTTTGTTTAGTAGCTGCATAATATAATTCTATTCTTTTACTTTCAAAATTTTCTATATCCTATGTGCCCTATTTTTACTTTGTAAACATATTTTAATATGGCCTAACATTTATAAAATTTTGATTAGACTATTTAGTCCTTTACATTTACTGCCATCACTGACACCAGTGTTCTTGTGTGCTATTTGTCTTGACTAGTTTGTGTGTTTTTTCCTTGCCTTTTTTTTGGATTGAGTGTTTTTTCCCTGTTCCATTTTAGCCCTTGGTTAGTTTTCAAGATATATACTGCTTTTTCTTTTTTTAATGATTATTCAAGAAATTTCAACATGCATTTTTTTAAATCCTCACCTGAGGACATGCTAAGAGAGAGAGAGTCATCCATGTGAAAGAGAAACACTGATCAGTTGCCTTCCCTAAGTGCCCCAACAGGGGATCAAACCCACAACCCAGGCATGTACCCTGACCAGGAATAAAATCAGGACGATGCTCAACCAACTGAGCCACTCCAGCTGGGCAACATGCATTTATTTATTTTTTTACTACATGCATTTTTAACTTATCAAATCTACAGGGCGTCCCCAAAAAAATGTATACACACTTTAAATGATTATAAAGTCAGTATTTATTAACATATAGTTCATTTTCAAAATTAAGTGAAATATCAGCTGTTAAGTATGTATATATTTTGGGGGGACACCCTATATTATGACTCCACCTTTCCAACAATGCAAATCCTTAGAACAGTGCTCACAAAAGATAAAATTTTAATGTTTTTATTTCACTGTGGACTAACAAAATATAAAGGAATTAATCGAAAATTAAATCAAAAAGCAAAGATACAAAATACACACTCAATTTTAAAAACAGTTTTAAGGTATAACTGACATACAATAAACTGCACATATGTAAGTGTAAAATTTGGCATGTTTGAAATATGTATATATTTATATACACACTAGAGGCCCCATGCACGAATCCATGTGTTCCCTCGGCCTGGCCTGTGGGGATTGGGCTGAAACCAGCTCTCCGACATCCCCTGAGGGGTCCTGGATTGCGAGAGGGCAGTTCTCGGGTGATGAACCCCGGAATCGGGCTCCCTTCTCTCTGGTTCTGAGTGTGTCACCCGAGAACTGCCGATGCCAAGTGACCACAGCTCAGCAGCTCCTACGTTGAGCGTCTGCCCCCTGGTAGTCAGTGCACGTCATATCTACTGGCCAGTCGACCAGTCAGCTGGTCGCTTAGGCTTTTATATATAGACTAGAGGCCCGGTGCCCAAAAATTTGTGCACTCCGGGGGGAGGGGGGTCCCTCAGCCCGGCCTGTGCCCTCTCGCAGTCTGGGACCCCTCAGGGGATGACCACCTGCTGGCTTAGGCCCGCTCCCCGGGGGATTGGGCCTAAGATGGCAATCACACATCCCTCTGGCAGCCCGGCAGCCCTCGGGGGATGTCCACTTGCCAGCGGGGAGCAGGCCTAAACTGCAGTCAGACATCCTTAGTGCTGCTGAGGAGGCAGGAGAGGCTCCCACCACCACCGCTGTACTGGCAGCCATCAGCCTGGCTTGTGGCTGAGCAGAGCTCCTCCCATGTGAGAGCACCCTGACCACCAGAGGGCAGCTCCTGCATTGAGCGTCTGCCCCCTGGTGGTCAGTGTGTGTCATAATGACCAGTCATTCCCAGTCCTTCTGCTGTTAGGGTCAGTTTGCATATTACCCTTTTACTATATAGGATAGAGGCCTGATGCACGGGTGTGGGCCAGCTGGTTTGCCCTGAAGGGTGTCCCGGATCAGGGTGGGGGTCCCGCTTGGGTGCCTGGCCAGCCTGGATGAGGGGATGATGGCTGTTTGCAGCTGATCACACCCCCTTCATGGTGGGGGTCCCCACTGGGGTGCCTGGCCAGTCTGGGTGAGGGGCTCAGGGCCGTTTTCAGGCTGGCGGATGACTGAAGCTCCCAACCTCTCCTTTTTTTCTTTTTTTTTTTATTCTGGGATTTATTTACCTTCTACAGCTGTCACTGGAGCTAAGAGCCGGCTTTAGCTCTGAGGCTCGGCTCCCGCTTGAGGCCTTGGCTGCTGAAAGCAGATATCTGGGTTTGTTTGGCTTCTATAATTGAAACACTGTTGCAACTCCAGCTCTGAGGCCCGGCTGGCTGAAAGCAGGTTCCTGGGGTTTGTTTAGCTTCTATAATTGCAACATTGTTTCTTAGAGTGCAGCTCAGAGGCCGGCAGCAGCAGGCGAGGAACCTTGGCTTCCTCCATCACTGGAGCAAGCAAGCCTCCTGTTCGCTTCAGCTGCCTGGCTGCCGGCCGCCATCTTGGTTGGCAGTTAA